GTCAGCACAAATCTGATAGGAACACTTCTGCATATAACAAACTCCACCATTTTAGAAAGTAACTACATCGAAAAGGTTTCAGAAAAGCTTGATTAACTAGGTGGAAAGTAAACAACAGTGACGCTTGTAAAGTTAAGCTCAAACTTGAGGAATCATTTTTCTCATCTGATAGCATTCTTTAAAACATATGTATTATATATTTAAACATAATGTATTGATACTTTAAACTAATGTATTTTTTTATTTAAATACTAATGTATTGTATACTTTAAACTAAGTATCACTTTATATATAATGTATTGTATTTAATATAATGTTTGTATACTTTAATATATGCCTCACCTCTGTCCCTCAAATATAATGCATTGTATACTTTAAATATAATGTATTCGTTATTTAAAATAATAATGTATTGTTTTTAAATATAATGTATGTATGACTTTAACATAATGTATTGTTTATTTAAATATAATGCATTGTATACTTTAAATATAATGCATTGGTATAAACATGAAAGTTGATTAAAATGTTGCACATTAATGTCATGTTCTTTCATTTTTTAAGAACAATTATTGTCATACTTCCATTACTTTAGTATTAAAGTATTATTATAAAGTAGCCTTATTTAGTATTGTTTTTCTGAATTAAGGAGATTATTATCTCAGAATTCTGGGAAAAGCTTTCATAAATTAATAATAATATCCTGGTCTGTTTTTCTGAACTAACGAGATACCTTCCTCAGGCTCTCCAGTGTTAGGGGCACACAGTGTCAGACAGAGGGCCAGAGGCATGAACATCTGGTGGGTGCAGGGGGTCAACAGGTTTAGCTGGTGGGTGAGGTTGTTTCTTAGGGCTGGAGAGCCAGTGTTAGGGGCTTTGGGTCAGGCTTATGTTGCTGCCGGGGCCCGGTGGAACATGCTGGAGGCTGGTTATGGTTTAGGCTCAGGGGTGCTGAGAGCTGGACCTGAGCTGGAGGTATCTTCTTCATTCAAAACAACAAGAGCAGGTTATTATTATTATTTTTCATGAAAAATTTCTCAGAATTCTGAAAAAATAAACTTTTTTATTATAGAAAAAGGGAAAAATGAGTGAAGGCGTAACACTTCAGTACTATTGTAATCACCACAGTGCCCGTACAGTATAGTCTCTATATACTTTGGAGTCAGGGACACATTTCTTCCTGTGGTCTGTTATGACTTTAACTGCATGTCACATACATTTACATGGTCAGTTTTATATACGGTATTTTAAAAACAACTTTTAAATGCAAGAAACTGGTCTTCTTTAAAGTACGTCATATTATTAGGGCAGTGGAGCCGAACCTTTTCCCCATCGGACCCTCTGAATAAAATAAATATCTACCTGAAACGTCCCCATCAGTGAACTGTGAGCAGTACACCAAAGAGTTTGTTTTAGAGAGTCCTGAATAGGTTAAACTGTCCAGTATTTCACAAATAGATAGAATAAAAGGCTTGTAATTGTATGTAGCCAAACAATATTCTTATTCTTCTTATTATTATTTTTATTGCTAAAATCATCAACCCATCCAGATTTATCCTGCGAATCCTTGGAGGGGCCCTGACCCCCAGGTTGGGAACCACTGAACTTTGAGCTGCTGTCAGAGTGAACGTCATGTGAAATTAAACCTTTAAAAATGTAATCTGATACAATTACTAATTACCTGTTAAAACTGTAGTAAGTACTCGAAGTATCACAATATTAAAGTAATTTTAGGATCACCTCAACACCAAATATGTAAATAAAAACAAGAGAAAAGAAAGGTCAATAAGCTGTATTGATGCGAGTGTGTTGTATAAGAAAACAGAACAATGTGACCACAGAAACAGAATGGAAACCAACAGTGTGTCCTCTGCTCCTTGTGTTTTAAAACTGTAATCCTAAACTATCCCCATGTTTACTAAATGTAACTGTAACCTGAAACGTATTTTTATTATTCTGTAGCTGTAATGGATTACAGATATCTTGTTGTTGGTATCCTGATGACATATCTCAGTTAGATGTAATCCAATACTCCACAAGCCTGACCCGAGTATATCTCATGATGTCAGATACAATTGAAAAGTAGGTCTTTATGTGGAGTTAAAAGTAAAGTATCGAGAGCATTGAACTGCTACCTGCTACTTCACCATGCTCTCAAAAGTTTCTTAAAATCACTAACACTTCCTCCAAAATAATAGGTCTTCCCACTCCCAACCTACCAGCCCTCATTAATACTGCCACTGCTCGCAGAGCAACTACCATAGTACAAAATCCCAGCCACCCTCTCGACTCATGCTTCACCCTTCTCCCATCTGGCCGTAGATTCAGACAGCTGCTCTACAAAAAGGCACGCTTTGGAAAGAGTTTTGTACCCTGCGCTATAAGAGTGTTATATTATATTATATGTGTGTTATATGTGTAGATGTGTGTATATTGTCTGTGTATGTGTACTGTGTGTAGTTTGTGTGTTGTTGAATTCATGTTGAAGGTGCTCTTTGTACAGACTGAAAATGAACTGGACTGAATGTGAAATGTGAAGAGCAGCCAACCAGGTAATATTAGCAGTAGATGAGCACTATGAGCTGATAACTGAGCTTTGTTCATCCTGAGAGCAGCTGACACAGTCCAGCTCTGTTACCAACGTTACCACACACATACACACACACATACACACATATACACATATACACACACATATACACACACACACACTAACGTTAACTCTCTGTCGTCGTCGTGAAAAGCTAAACAAACACAAACTCACCAGGATGCTCGCAGTGTTCAAACCAGGCAGTTTACTGAACGGCTTCAACAACGACATCCTGACACAAACACTTCGTCTAATTAGTAAATAAATCCAATTTAATCTCAATCCGGTCAATACTGTCCGGTCCGGTTTCAGCCTCGCGCTTCTTTTCAGAACCTGCGTCTGACGTCATACGCAGGCAGCAACGTCATGACGTTATCCGTACATACGCTGTTGTTGTCTGCCACCTAGAGGCCGCTGGGTGCATCGCTCTTCACTGTCTATACGTCTATGATTCATCGATATTCACCCCTCGACATCTGACCAGTACAGACTGTACATGAGGAGCAAAATGCTGTAATTTTGTACCCCTCGAGTAGATCTTTATCTTTTTCTAAAACAATTTAATTTGTGATATATGCTAGTACCAAAATGCCCCAAAAATATAAATGTAAACTAAAACATATATTTATGTTTTCCGCACATTACAAGAACATTTTTAGTAAAATGTGTCTTATATGTGTATGAATATCTACGCATGTGTTTGTCAATGAAGCTAAAAGGAAGGGGAACGCAGTTTTCATTTATAAGATGAATTTAACCAAACTGTATGCATAAACAAAAGGTGAAGTTAAAGAGAACTCTATATAAACACATTGTATTTGAATGGAAGCAGACAATTTTATTCACTTAATGGTGGAACAGCAAAGTAGACACCCCCAGTACATCCAGGTTGTATCACAGCAAACGGGACACCAGTCCCTGGGCCTTCTGAGTGTCAAGATCATCTATATGCTTTCACATGTCAGGAACTGAGTGGAAATACTTCTTTGATGACTTCTTTCCGGGGGGACAAGTGAGTTTTTTTTTTCAAATCAATGCATTTTGAATTAAGGGCAGACTCTGGGATGTGTGTGATTTTCCAAATGAGACCGTTATGGCTTGAAGGCAGCAAATAAAACACAAACATCAGAAGTGCCTTCAGTCATTCACAGCTCATTTCAAACGGCTATGCCACATTAAGGAGTCCAACCCATGTAGAAGAATCCACAGTGAATGAAACTGATGGATTCACAATGGAACAGGAAAAACAGTATTAACATTTAAGGTCCAACTAATGATAAAAAAAACCAAAAAAAAAACAGCACTTCATGTGAGCAAAATAAAAAACAGACTCAAAGTAAGGCTGCTGTCTCTCACTCACTCATCCCTCATCACTGTCAAAATAACTGTACATAAGATCAACAAGATGGCATAAAAAATGACTATACTGCTTCCAGCTCACACTAGCGTCACAATTCAGAGTCTTATAAAAGTTGTTTTTCATGTTCCTTGACCGCCACCACTGAAGTTGTTCCCTCATCCCCAAGTTAAGTTTTCCGCCGTCCGCCCTGCTAATGTACATGTCCCACTTTTAATATGAACACACATACAAAGCAGACACACACGCTCGCACAAACACACACCCTTCTCTCCATGCTCCTTTTACTAAACAATATATCCAAATCAAAGACTTAGGAGGCGTCCCCTCCTGTTCATATCTCCCCGGACTCTCGCTCCTCGGAGCTTGAGCGTCGGTCCCGCTCGTACGACAGGGATCTCTCTCGTTCCCTCCCCCTGGCTGTGTCCGCGGAGCGGGACCTCTCTCTGTTCTCCCAGTCTTTGTACTCCGTCCTCTCTTCACGCCACCCCTCTCCTCCTGCACCCTCTGCTCCCTCTGCACCCTCTGCACATTTCTCCTGGGACACCGAGCGCTCTTTTTCGTGGGTGTGAGATGATCTGTCTCTGGAGGACCTGAGGAAAGACAAAACTACTTTTTATTTACTTTTGATACAGGGATGGAAAACTAACAGTTATCGTTCACATGCAGAAAGATGGATCCTAAACGAAAGTTAAATTTCATAGTGTCAGCTGCATACATTTTCAGCACAACAAAGATAAGGAGTTCATGATATTACACACGTATTCAATCACATTGTATAACGTTTTAACACTATATAGTTTTCATTGTTGGGTGATAGTCGTTAGTATCACGTTAAAACTATTACAACTAAGACAAAAATTGTATTCAAATAGCTTTTTTGCCCATTAAAAAAACCCAGCCTTAATTAATCAATAAATTAAATAGCTATTGATTACTATTACTATATTACTGTTCTGTTGCTCAACCAACCAATTAATCAATTTTTTTTAGCAATAAATTAATTTATAAGCACCGGACTACAGTCATTCTTGAAGCCGATTCCATTTTGCCAACAAATTTCTACTGACTTTGCCTACATTCACTTGGTTCATGTGCTCTGAATGAGGTAAGAATATAACATATAACATATATACAGCTGACGTCTAATCACTGGCGACATGATGTGAACTGTGTGTTAGTTAAACTCTAAGACCAATAACTTTATCCTAATGATGCTTTGTAGTTTCAGTGGTGGATAAAAGCCACACCTCTTCCTTTTGCGCCTGTGAGAGTAGGAGCGTGAGCGATGCCTCTCCTTGTGTCGATGCTTCCTCTCTCGCTCACGATCCCGTTCGCCACCTTCTTCTCTGGAACGAGAGGAGTGATGGCGTCTTGAGCGATGGGAGGACGAACTGCCTCCATCCCTACAAATAATTGTGGAGAAGGAAAGATTTGAATGTTTAAGAACATAAAATATCAACACTGCAACATTATTTGTGTTTATGTTTTGTGCTTCTAAAACTACAGGATATGATGAAAGACTGTATTCTGAATAAAATCACATCATGGCACACAACTAGCCTAACAACTGACACTCACCACAAATGCCTGAAAAAACAGCACATGCCAAACATTTAAAGCCTGAGACGTATATACCCTTAATTTAAATTCAATTATAAGTCAGTCACATGACAAAGACAACATTTATCAAATGATTCTGGTCAAAGCAGACGTACCTGTATCGGTCTGGACTTCTAGATCTTGACCTAAAACAGATTAACACAAATCAGACAGTTTCCGTTTCCAGACGACACTCAACTTTTTCTTCGTACGCAGTAACAGAAGAAGTCAGACTGTTTCTTACCTCCTACGCTCCCTCTCTCTTTCTCGTTCTCTCTCCCATTCGCGCTCTCGTTCCCGCTCCCTTTCTCGTTCCCGCTCCACCTCCCACTGTCGCTCTCTTTCATCTTCTTTTTCACGCTCCTCTCGTCTTCTCATTCGCATTCTTTCTTGTTTCTCTATAACGGCTTTCTGGATGAAGCAGAAATAGCACAAACGTGAGGAATATGAGCAGCAGATTATATGCTGTGTTCAGTACAACACAAACATGACTGAAATTTCCACTTAATTGATTTTATTGATCAGTAATCGTGCAGATACCAGTGCACCCCTTACCCTTAGCTTTTCAAGCTTCTCACGGATTTCAATAAAACCGAGGTGCAGTTTGCCCCCAAAGTGGTCAGCCAGACGGCGATCGTTGTCGTGAAGACCCAAGTAGGCAGAGCACACCTCGCACACTCGTAGTTTTTGTTGTTGAAAGCTGGAGGCTGGCATCGAGTTTCGGTACACATCCTGCAAGAACAACGGTTATTATGAGACTGTGAAGCTGGGGCAAATTAATTCAACACGCAATACACTCAAGACTCAAATTTGTATTTCATCATGCCTGCATGATAGAGTGTAAGCAATGTTGGGAAATATGACACCTAGTCACCAAGCCTTTGTTGAAGTTACATTACATACATACAATGAGTTCAACGTTCTCTCTACCTGATTTCTGTCATTATACATTTTGAGAAGAGATTGTGTGTTGAGCTGCCCTTGGTTACCGTTACGTCACAGAATGAGTCACTGATGAAAATCCTTACTAATCTCATTAGAAAACCTTCACAGACAGAAACTAATATTCAGGTCTACGTGGTGAGTGGCAAGTACAAATATTGATCTATTCTGACACAATAACCTGATCACAACAAAGCATTTAATCTATGTTCTGACCTCTGCTTCTTTCTTCAAGGCCCGGGTCTTCTCCACCATTTCCAGCAGCTGCTGGGCTTCGTCTACATTGCCCTCGCCCCCGAGCTGCTCTGCCCGGGCCAGCAGCTTCCCGATCTCTTCGTTTAGCTCGTGGACACGTTCAGCCTTGTGACGGCAGCAAACGGAGACAAAAGAAATTAGACCACTTTGTACAGATTCTGGATAACCAGTTGGAGTGAACAGTATTAATGAAGACCTGATAATAATCTCACTAGCAATGTCAACAGTGAGTTTAGTCACCTTTGCAGCCACTTCAGCGCTGATCTCATCCTGCGTCTCAGCTAGTCTTTTCTTGGCTAGCTCGGTCCTGCGGTCGCAGTCAGCGATGAAGGACTGAAGGTGTTCAGCAGCCTGCGAGAAAACAGATGGGTTTTGTGTGTGTATGAAATATGCACCATCATCTCTGGTAGAAAAATAATGTTTTTACAATGTTAATCTCAACTAAGTTTATCTTAAAACTTCTTTTCAATACATTAAATTATCCATATTTTTCTTTATTGTATTTTATAGACTTCTTATTGTGTAATTTATTGCTAGTATTAGATGTACATGTGCAATCTCTGCCTATTAGACCAATCCACATCGGCCCACTCTTTCACCTTCCTCTCAATCATCCTTAAATTCAGACGTCCACTTTCTTATTCAGTCACAATTTAACAGCACCACTTAGACCAAACTTATAGTTTTGGAAATGAGAATGGCACTTCGCGTCTTCTCATCTTCTGCAACCATCACATCATCCGGTGAAGCGTGTAGGAGATGACAACCATCCGACTTTCTTCTGGATGGTTGTCATCTCATTGACACTTTTACACAGTCGGAAACGAATTTACCGTCATCCAACCTGCTAATCCTTGGTGTAACATGAAAGCAGCCATGTCAGTCTGGATAACTGTAAACTGTGTGACAGATGGTGTAGATACATTAAAGTTATTTGTGAGATTTAGGGAAGTGATGATTGATTAATAACTCTGATTAATTGTAGATTGACAGGCAATGTCAACAATGAGGATGTGCAGTTTAAGTCAGGATTTGTACTACTCGGGTTAACAGGTACTAAGACCAAAAATAGCAACAACAAGGTGCTGCGTCGGTGTGGCCACAAGTATAAGATAAGATAAGATATTCCTTTATTTGTCCCACGATGGGGAAATTCCGATGTTGCAGCAGTAAAGTGGATAGAGAAAAAGAAACAGTATACAGACAGTAAGAGTAGGACAAAATAATAAATAAAAAACACTAGAAAAAGTAAGAAAAGCCAAGCAGAGATGAGAACGAGCATATGAGCGAATAATGGTATATTAATCGGCATATCCGAGTGTGAGAAGATAGCAACATATGAACCATGTCGTCCAGCGTTGCGCGCGGAGGTAGATATAACTGCACATGTTTGGAAAACACTGAAGTGGTTTACTGTGGTGAATTGCCACGAAGAGTCGACAGTGACTTGAGTTCATCCTGTATTGAGATGGCTGTGAGGTAAACATCAGAATCAGACTGTTCATACTGTGTAAGTAGTTTAACAGGAATCTGTGCTGGAGAGTGTTTGAAAAACGCAAATAGTGACGCACGATGTTCCTGAACGCAACCTTACACGTAGAGCTTAGAATTTATTTGCTCGCAACCTAATGACACAATCTTTTA